CTGTTTATTTTATATGCAAGATTTGATGCGAGGTATGTGGGGTATGCGGGGTAACATGCAATTTTTATTTATCTGATTCAAACAAATGATGTAATTGTTTCGTTCTATTTAAGTAAATAAATAGTGTGATCTAAAAGTGATCGATCCTTTTTCCCGTTCAAACGATCGTTCAAAAAGTTTCTTTTCGTCTTTTTCATTGTACAACAGACACCTTAGGCTTTTCGTATATAACGAGAACTTTAAAGTTTTTTTCGCTTGTGCCAGAAATATCTTGGATTCTTCTTTCGCTCATGCTATAATCTCTTGAAGTTTTCTTTCGCTTGTGCTAGAAATATCTTGGAGTCTTTTTTCGCTTGGATTCTTCTTTCGCTTAATACCTTGGAGTCTTTTTCACTTGTACCATAAAATCCTCTGAAGTTTTTTTTCGCTAGTGCTATAAATTCCTGAATAAATAGTGTGATCTAAGAGTGATTGATCCTTTTTTTGTTCGTTCAAAAAGCTTCTTTTCATCTTTTTTATTGTACAACAAACATTTTAGACTTTTTATGTATAACAAGTACTTTAAAGTTTTTTTTGCTTGTGCCAGAAATTTCTTGAATTCTTCTTTCACTTGTTCCATAATTTCTTGAAGTCTTCTTTCGCTTGTGCTAGAAATACCTTGGAGTCTTTTTTCGCTTAGATTCTTCTTTCGCTTAATACTTTGAAGTCTTTTTTCGCTTGTGCTATAAATCCTCAGAAATTTTTTTCGCTAGTGCCATAAATTCCTGAGTTTTCTTTCACTTGTACTATAAATTCTTTGGGTCTTCTTTGTTTGTACAAGAAGTTTATTTGAGAGTCTGTTTTGTTTGTAAAACAAAATAACTTCGTCTCATGGAAAGTAGTAACAAAAGGAAGTGATTTGCTTGTTATTAAAGAGTTGAAAAGAGTAAACACAATGGAAAAACATTCAATTCAACACACGATGACATCATCTAACTCTACGATGCAAAGTTTTACAAGGTTAGTGAGGTGCCTTCTTGATAGTTGCATGTTAAAATGACTCCAACTCATTTCTTTCTTTTTTTTTAATTTTCACCAAGTAATTCTTTCATGGAACTTGAAGCTGATTTCAATTTGGCGC